TATCCTCCTGAACAGAAGCTTTAAGTATCATAAACGTGTGTTTGCCATTCTTTTTCTGCAACACTACGAAATCCAACGGAAAAATCCTATTGTTTTCAGTCGCGGGAGCCCTTGCAATGCTAATTTCCGGGTCTGCCTACACAAATACTTAATCACTGAACCTCTCAATAGCTTTGTCGTGAGTTGACTTCCATAAATCGGAATCAGCTTTACTAAATAGCACACGCCCAGTGTGCTATTTAGTAAATCATGTGCCAGGAAACACAGGCAGCCAAACATTTACATTCAGTAACGTCAGAAACTGAAAATCAGTTTCATTGACCTCAGTTTCCCTTCCAGATATTTTAAACGCTGAAACATACACACATGGTTGAAAAGGTCCATTGAGAATATTCTAAATAAACCTTTATAGAGTCCTAATATAAAGCACATTTAGTAACTCATTACCTTGGGGTGCCGCAGGATTAAATAGAGACCACAGCAGGTGTGTGCTTCACATCAAAGTGTGGCTTCATGAGTGGAACAATGGAGGATGAATTTACTGTCACTTCATTGGAGTAAACACATTATTCTCTTCACTTGGCCTCCACACAAAAGCTAAGCTAAATATTTTTACATTGCAAGTGTTGGATTGCCTTGGCAGCTTTATGTACACACAAGAGACAAACTAAAGGCTGGGAAGTGATATTTACAGATCGAAGGTCAGTTTCCCCTGAGACAGAATTATTGCATGGCTCGTAATGTAGGACATGGTTATAATCAAACTAGTGGTTAGCATACAGTACAAAAACTAGACTACACTGTTGACCATTAAACGTTTTTAAATTGTCTTTGAATGTCATGTGTGCTTCACTTTTTAGAGTTATTTTTACTTGATTGTATGCCTGCAAGAGTTATATAATGATCAGGTGAATATAATTAAAGTACGTTTATTTTTCTTATAATTTCATATTTACAAGTTATTTACAGAAATCTCTTCAGCTGAATCCGTGTATCTACCGTCCATTGTTTTTCTTTATTAAACAAGTAAACGGAAGAGCGTCTGAGAGGCCTTTTTGCTTTTTACCTCAGTAAATGGTCTAATGGTCATTGGAGCGAGGGGCGGGGCGAAACTAACGGAAGTGACTTCAAAACAAAAGCACTCGTTTGCTTGGAACGGTGATAATATTATAAACAAGGTGAATTTAGCCATCACAACGAAAACAGCCAAGACACACATTGAGCCCAGAAAACGAATGTTACTAAGGGCTGTAAATATAATAAGCCTCTGTCTAAAATGGACAACATTGTTAGGAGATTTAAACTATGCAGCGATTCTGCACTGCGGTCAACTCAGCCGTCTCTCGAGTTTGTTATAATTTTTTCTGCCATTAGTTCTTCTTGAGATTGACACTGTTGGACTCAGTACTAGTGAAACAACTCCCACAAGTACTATGAGGTACTTTTACTGTGTACTTTTTGACTGTCAATGTCCCCTCCTGAGTACAAGAATGCATGTTTCTTTGCTATTTTGAATAAGCGTTAAAACACCTTTCTTCATGAGACTGATATTGTTAGACAGAGTATTTTAAGAGGATGGTAGACTTGATATCAGCAATACTTCCAGTCAGTACTCCGGCAGCAGCATTTTACACCTTGGAAAGTCTTTAGAGTCTGGCCTGGATAGCTGGTCTATCCTTCAGCAAAGTGACACACCCTTGTGACTCTTGTTGGCCTCTTATGACAATGCTGTCTTTTAAATAGGATTATTTCTCTACTCCTAGTTCATTCCTCAGAATGTTCCATCAGTCCCAGTCATTGCATGTCAGTCAATAGAGCTTCGAAAAATGTCTCCAATTCAACCAAATGTTTTTTTGTGAGTGAAGGCCAGAGCTAAATTATAGATTGTTTGATTGTGTAATTACAAGGTGAGAGAAAATAAATCCACAACCTCCTATGAAACTTATTTTATTTACTTTTCCATGTTATACTTATACTTACTTGCATTACAACATTTGCATGTTGAACTACATGATGGATATCTTCCCCAGCCTCAAGGAAATCCAATAAAATAAATGGATTCATAATTTTTAAAAATTGATAAAAATGTATACATTAATAATGTTGTGTGCAAACATTTCAAATTGAAATACAAAAGGAAAAAAAGTGTACTTTTGAAAAGATTTCTCACGAAAAACTTTAGTAAATTAGTAAAAAGGGCCTAGTCCAGTGGCGTCCCCTGGCCGAATGTTTTTTCTGTAGCCCCGGACAATTCTCCCTCAATAATATAATACATTGACCGTGCTTTACGTGAACTTCATCATGACACAAGAGAGGACGGTAGGAGTGTAATTTCCCGTGTTCAGTGAATGCAACAGAGGCATGACACCAGACCAATCAGAGAGTTGCATGGAAATAAACATGTGCTTGTGTCATTCAAGCTCGGCTCTGTGTGTGTGTGGCAATAGCGCATTAGTGTGATCGAGAGAGAGAGGGAGAGAGGGAGAGAGGGGGACCGGTGCCAGCAGGGACGGTGTTGTTAGCATCTGGTTAGCTAGCTGCACTAACGGACATAAGGAGCTGTTTGTTCCACAACAAGCTGGAGGAGAGTCCTCTCCTCTCAGACTGAGAGACTCAGGTGAGCTAAAGGACTCTGAGTGATTAGATAGTTCACTTTAGTCTTGCATTCACACCAATAGTCCGCTTCTCTGGTGCGCACCAGACGACAGTTTGTTACATTGTTTCATTTTTCAGAAGGTTCGGTTTGCGGTTTGCGGTCACACGGGCAAAACTCAAACGGACTATAAACAGGGGTGCACATAACTTTTTTGCCCCGGTTCTGAAAGGAGCACCTGGAGATGTTGCTTGGTGCTCATCCTTAAAATGAAATAAACCGTACCTTTTGAGGGGGTCTTTATTTGCCAGACACACGGCACTGAACACACAGAGGTGAACACACATGCAGAGGTGAACACAAGACAACATTAGCACGACCAGTAATCCTACAAGCTGTCATCACTACCCTCCTGACTGTCTTCCTCTCTGTCAGACATGGTAGCTGATGATGTAGGCCTACTTCTTTCTCTCTGGTTGAGTCTGCGATTAGCTGCTTGCATCCACAAGTCAACAGCTGGTTTTGGGTCGAAAGTCTCTGTTATCATCTTAGACAAGTGGATGTAATCAAATAAGTATGTGAACATAACCAATAACCTACCATAGCCAATAACAAATTAATGTAACTTATTTTATTTGTGTTGTTCATTCATATCTTATTTTACCTTAACATTTATTTATTTATGCATATTTTTTTATCTCCAGTTTTAAATGATATTTTTGGTTACTATCATATTGAAATGATTTCAAACCTGTTTATCCCAATAATTATAAAGGAGTGCCTTGGAAATATGTGTTTACATAAATTGTGACTAAACCGTTTGAGACCCACTGAGATAACTTAGACTAAAGTGAACTATCTAAACACTCAGAGTCCTTTACCTCACTGAGCTGTAGTTATCAGCCTCTCAGTCTGACTGGAGAGGACTCTCCCTCCACATTATTGTAGAAACATCTTCTTCTTCCGTTAGAGCAGCTAGCACCAGATTCTAATAACAACAGCGCCGGTACCGGTGCACCCTCCCTCTCTCACTCTCTCCCTCGCTCACTCGCATTTTGGCTGTGAGCTGCGGGCGCCAGATAAGCCAACATCCCCCATTTTCATCACTTACAGCGCCCATCGTACAGGGCAAATGAAACGTGTAACCGGGGTGAAAAAAGTGTTACATTTACTTAATTATGAATGTTGTTACATCAAGGCCGAAAATTAGGATGAGCGCCAACAGTCAAATGTTTTTTTCCCTCCCAGAACTGCCAGCGCAGCGACTCCCCAGATCTGGCGCCCTAGGCGAACATCTAGCCAGTGCTACGGGCCGACCCTGAGTTAATATGCAACTCGCCAATATCTTTCTTTCTCTCTCTCTCTTCTCTATCCTCTCTTTTCTCTTCTCCCTTCTCTCTCTCCCTCTCTCTCTCAATGTTGGTACGCAAATGCGCCTTTTTTCAAATGACCAAGTGCTCTTTTTTTGGTGGAGGTGCGCATGCGCACCTACGCACCAGTTATGTGCAGCCCTGACTATAAACTTTAAACACAAGTCATGTGCACGGAAATGCTGTTCAACCATTGGTCAGACATTAAGGGGGTAAAAACGCAAATCCCGGCAATTTCTACCGGAGCCTCCGCTATGGAGCATCGGCACTTTCGGCAGGTTATTCTCATGCTGCTGTTAATCTGGAGATCAACAGACACTAGCGATCCGCGCATATGATTATATAATCAGACAACGTCCGTTAAAAAAACATTATAACACAATGAGAGACGTTCTGCAGTAAGGAGGGGCGTTTCACCGACGACAGGTGTTCTTACTTTTATGTAGTTGACGGAGCATTTTTACTTTACACGACACTGTTCAACACTTAATTCTGCTTCACTCTTTAAATTAACAACCGCGGATGTCTTGAAAGACTCTTTCGCTAAAGATTTTCCGCGTTCTTGTGACACGTAAATACTACGCTTCCTATGTTTTGGTGCGGACTGCGTTCACACCAGCAATGAACCGCTCCAGAGTTCGCAAGCAAGCGTTCCGAGACCACCTATTTTAGCGGACCAGAGTCCGGTTGTTTAGTTCACTTCAGAGGTCTCGGACTACATTCACACCGACCCAAATGAACCGCACCAAGCGGCTAAACGCACCAGGGTTAGATTCAACCGGACTATAAAAGGCTGGTGTGTCTCAAACGGTTTGGTCACAAATTATTCAAAAGATTATTTCCGCGGCACACCTTCATATGATCATTATAATCTATATGGCAGTAAAACAAGAATAGAGTTTAAAAAGGGAGTGATTTGTAAAATATCCATAAAGAAAAAGTAAATCTGTTTACAGTTCTGTTTCATATGGGTGTTGAGAGATGTATCCATAGATCTCTTAATGTTGCTCTCAAAGTGCGCCAGATTGATCCCTTTAACTTCAATATTTAAAAAAATAACATCCCCCCGAACCCCCTTAGAAGAGGTGAGGTCCGCCCCCCACTCATAAAAAATAGCACTTTACCCCTGCCTATATGCGATGAGCTGATTATCGAGCCTTCATTGTAACTGTCGCGGGTGTACTCTGTTTGCGTGTGGGGAGTGTTGCAGTAGAAAATTCCATGTGGCCGTCGCCACTGTGGGCTAAGCCCCAAATGTTTTCAGGTCCAGGCGACGCCCCTGGCCTAGTCTATATACGTTTTTCTGCCTAAAATAGTTTAAATTGAACGTAAACTATATCAAACACCGCATGGCAATTAACCCATTTTTGCCCGCTATTTAAATTGACTTTGGTTGAAGTTAATACAAATATTCATATTATATATAGCATATCATTGATCCAGTCTTTCTGAACACTGTTCAAATAAAATACTGCAAATGAAGAATATTTTTAATGTTCTGCACAGATAGTGCCTTAACTTGAATTTGAAAACACGTGGCAACTTTATTAATACAGCAGATGAAAAGATTTGTGTAAGGATAAATTCTTCTTGGGCTTCAATGGCTCTCTAGATAAAGGGCGTTTTATGGTTGCTTGTATTATCCTCAGATAGTGGTTTGTTTAAATAACTAGTGACATTTTAATACATATTGCAAAAAAAGGGCTCCAAAAAAGGCATATATAAATATATAACCTGGCCGGCTTAGCCAGTGTGTATTTCTTCAAGCACCAAGATTCATAGTTTATAAAGTACAATTCTGGGCCATTGATTGTGTCATTACTAGCGGCTGAGAAATAATCATATATTAAAAGACAGCAGCATCATAAGAGGCCAACCAGAGTGACAGAGTGTGTCACTTTTCTGAAGGACAGTTGTGACCAGCTATCCAGGCCAGACTCTAAAGACTTTCCAAGGTGTAACAATGCTGCTGCTGGAGTACTGACTGGAAGTATTGCTGATATCATGTCTATCATTTCCTCTTAAAAATACTTTTGTAATGCTTATTAAAATAAAAACATGAATTCTTGTTCTCATGAGGGGACATTGACAGAGGATTACTGGAAACGTACACAGTAAGTACTTCATAGTACTTGTGGGGGTAGTTTCACTAGTACTGAGTCCAACAGGATCAATCTCACGAAGAACTAATGGAAAACAAAATATAATTCCCTCATCAAACTTAGCAGAAGTGGGTTGATTTTGTTCTCAGCAGGGGACTTTGACAGAGTATTTCTCAAATAATACACAGTAAAAGTATGTCAATGTATTGTTAGTAGTAGGCTAACTAATACAAAGTCAAACAGTATCAATTTCATTAAGAACTAATGGTACAATTGTATTTTCATCATTCATCAAAGATAGCAGAAAAACATGCATTATGTAGGCTACTAAGGAGGGGACTCACAGAGGATTACTCACAAAGTACACAGTAAAAGTACTTCATTGTATATCTGGTAGCAGTCAAACTAGTACCGAGTCCAACAGTGTCAGTTTTATTAAGAACTTGTGGTACAAAATATTTGTATCACTCATTGAAAAAAATGAAGAGCTACTGATTCGAAAAAACAAACGCGAGAGACGGCTGAGTGACCGCAGTGCTGAACCGCTGTATAGTTTAAATCTCCTAACAATGTTGTCTATTTTAGACACATGCTTATTATATTTACAGCCCTTAATAACATTCGTTTTCTGGGCTCAATGTGTGTCTTGGTCGTTTTCGTTGTGATCGCTAAATTCACCTTGTTTATATATGATCACAGTTGCAAGCAAACGAGTGCTTTTGTTTTGAAATCACTTCCGTTAGTTTCGCCCCGACCCTCGCTCCAAGGTCTATTCGACCATTTAGTAAGGTAAAAAGCAAAAAGGCCTCTCAGATGCTCTTCTGTTTACTTGTTTAATAAAGAAAAACACATGTTTCTTTACTGATTCTATTTTACATGTAGTTATATTTTGCAGCAGATACATTGTCGAGGTGAAAACGCAAAATGAGAGGTATACAAATAAAAGATAAAGGGATTCTGCATACTATTCACTCCAAACATGTCATTTATAAAAAAGGAAATATTGAATTTGGGAATATGACGGTGTGAAGAAACCTTCTACTTTAGATGTCTTCATCCTTTGTACCTCACACCTTTTAGAATGTCATCTCTACTACAACATTAATAGAACGCTCCAAAATGAAGTATTTTGAGTGGAAAGGCCTTTTAGTTAAATCACATGGATCTATTTTTATTTTTCTTGATTCACAAGTCTGGGAATAAATGGCTTCTAATAGGTTAAGTATCTTAAGAAAATGTGTGTATTTGCTATGTACAGTAGGTCAAACAGATGGCGTTTCTGTGTGGCAGAAGAAGGTTTCTGATTACAGGTGTCGTGACTGAACGGTTATTAAAAAATCTACAGTGGGCTTGCAATATAGTAGGTGAAAACAAAATCTCTGGGTATTTTCGAAACAGCTCTGCACACAGATGGTACATTGTAGTTCCAAGCTCAGTCTTACTGTACAATGCATCATTCATACAATCCTGCCAAGACTCAACTGTTCCCCGGCGTTCCCAGTGCTTGTGTGTTTGCTTAGTTCCTATACTTTTCCAGTCAAGTGGGTTCTTATTTTATTCATGACATTTCTGAAAAATGCACCACGGCGTGGAAATATCGTAGAGAAGATGAAAGAATGCGTGGATAATGACTGAATGTGTCAACCGACACAATGTTCTTTTTGTTTTGTACAAACTCTAACAGCAGTTTGAATTATTTGGAGGTTAGAACCTCACTCAAAATCTGGGATGGCATTAATTCAAAAGTCATAGAATAAATAAATAGATACAACACAGTAGAAAAATAAGGTTAGCTATTTACTTATACATCCAAGGTCACTATAATGGGGTCAGTGGAATGGCATTTTGGGCATTAAACACCTAACAAAGTGCAGTAACACCCCTTAAAGAGGCTTGCACAGTCTCCGTAGAGAATTTGGCTTGGAGGGGAGACTACATTAAGAGAGAAGGCGTTGTGCCAGGGAGTTCGGTTGGCAGCGACAAACGTGAACTTTTGCCCAGTCAAAGTGCTCATTACTAAAAGTCTGTACAGAAAGGAAAAGGACTACTTAACTCCTTGTTTGCACATCATTGCAACCTATAGGCAATGGCAGTAGTAGAAAGGAAAAAAAGGCAGCTAAAATACACAGGCAGTGGTTTGAGATTCAGCGTAAAGATAATATTCACCGTAACGATTATGAATTTCGAGGAAAATATGCTTGCTGAAATAAAGCAGATACTCTATTTTTTTTTTTTTTTCAGGACCAAAATAATGTAGTAGGTTACCATCATCATTGCACTTATGCCCAAGGTAAATAAAGGGATCCATAGGATAAAAAGTTGGATAAAATGTTTATCTCCGTTAAGTTTTTTGCTAGAGCTAGATTTGCACTTCAAGTAGGGTTTTTTTCTGACCTCATGATGTTTAACACACCACCCCCACCACAGAGATCTAACATGAGATGTGCCCTTTTACAAAACTGGAATAAACAAAGGTAAGAAGAAGAAGTCATTATCCAGCTATAGCTTCTTTGTCCCCGCTACCCAGAGACACTGAGGTTTCCGAAGAGGCTCCGATTGGCCGGAGCTTGAGGGCGAAGGAATTCCTACTGGCTGGGTCCAATTTAATTTACACAAGCATGTGGATCTCGTCGTACTCATCTCGTCCATCTTCGTCAAAGTTGGGAGAATCTTCGTCGCAATCCAGCTGTGAAAAGACAATCGCTCTTCAGTGATTTATATTCATAAATATTTTTTTATTCATGCATGCTCAAAGGTCAAAATGATGCATCTTAAGATGCTTACACACCTAACCTGGTGTGTGCTGTTTAAACAAACTCAGATGCACATTGGGCTGGTTTGAGAGCTGTCAGTTTGAACTAGGGATCGACCGATATGGCTTTTTCAAGGCCGATACCGATACCGATTATTAGTAATCAAGGAGACCGATAACCGATATTTGGAACCGATATACATTTGCAGTAAAATTAGAAAATCTTGGTGTCAAAATGTAGAATAACACAAACTCCAACACAACTTCTTTGAAATGCATTTAAGCATATATTATGTTTAATGAACTTTTAAACATCTTACAACTGGTTTCCTCTCTGTGCCCTTTTCTTTAGTGCAGCCATCTGCAATGAGTTAGAGAGAGAGACAAGAAGTGGGGCTGCAGGCTGACATGCTTAACTAACAATAATGCTTAATTTATTAGATCTGTCTATCTAGCATAAAATCCCAATAAGCTGCTAGCAACTGCAAAACACTAGTGCTAGCTAATGTTTTGCAAACTATTAAAAGTGAGGCTATTACAGTAGACCTAACGTTAGTCTAGTAGCCTCACTTCTAATATTTTGCTAAACATTTGCTAGCTAATGAGCTTCACATATCAACCTGAAAAACTGCGAGGCTCCACTTGCAGCCCCCCCCCCCTCCGCACCACAGTTACTCCGCTGCGAGACGCTGCACGCACCCCCAACTCTGACTGACTTCCCGCGTCCCTGTGTAACTGGGAAACTGATAGAATTGGATCATAAGATCGTGGTGTTTTTGCAACTTCAGCATAGGGGATAGGGATGTTTATTGAACTTTGGTTTAACACATGTATGGCTCTGCCGCTCAGCGCTGCTGCTTGCTTCAGTCTGTGTCTGCGTTCTTCGCACCTGCCTGTATTCTGAGAATGTCCCGCCTCTCTGGCTGGCTCCCGCCCGGAAAATCTTCAGTAATAGCCTATCAGATAGCGCTGTGGGCGGGACATTGCTCGTGTACACAGAGTGGTGACTGCAGCCAGAGAAACGGCCGCATCAGAGCCAAAGTTTTATCGGCAATTTGATTAAAAAAAAGGCCGATACCGATAATCGGTCAAATGCGGAATATCGGCCACTAGTTTGAACTAGTTTGAACCATCGGACTGAGACCATACGAAAGGTGGGTTTTGGTATACTTCCAGGTGGATTTCATGAGTGGACTTTAGCATAAATAAACAGCTAAACTGCTCATTTTGAAAGACAGGGTTAGTTGAAATGATTGATACTTCTCTCAAACGTTGAAGTCTTTAAGTTTAAGCTACATCCAGCAGCTAGCAAATTTAGCCTATACAGCTATTTGTAAAAATGTAAAAGTTTAAACATATAATGAAAAGTGAACAATATACATTTTGCTCCCCTCAAACAAATTGTGAAAGATAAAGAAATATTTGGTACCTACATTAGTTTGATAGAGAAGTGTCATGAACTTTTGTTTCGTGTTTTATTTTTAAATGTAAATTCCCCTTGTGTCTTGTCTTTTTGTTGTTCCAGTCTTTGGGATTTCTTATTTTTTTGTTATTATCTTCCCCCAACCTTTTTTTTTAGCTACGCTTTCCAGCTGTGTCATGTCAGTTTGATTAGTCCTGTGTGTATTTATCCCTGTCTTCCCTAGTGTTCTCTGTCGGTTTGTCATCAATGTTTCCCCGGTGTGGTTCGGTCTTTCATAGTTCCTTGTTTTCTGGCTACGTCTGATTTATACCTGCATGCCTCTTTTGTCCTTTGTTTGGGTTCTGCATCCCTCACCCACCCCTTGACAAGAAGAACACAGTAAAGAATAACAAAATAACCTACACAGTTTTCTGGTTTATATAGGGGAACGTTTAGAGATCTGACATCATAGAGGTCCAATTTTGGTAATTTTTGTGTTTTAACTTTATTTGAAGGCCTGCTCTAGTGTGATTCTACAGTGCCCCGGGTTCGTGAGACCTTTGGCTGAACATACCGAGGATGGTGGTCAAGTTAAGAACAAAGCTATTTATTCAAGCTCCTGAAAAAGTGGACATTTTGGACAAGGAAGGTTTTAATCTGACAGTGTTGACATGTATGGGTTTAGGGGATCTAACCAAGAAAACATGGAGCCAGGTTTCAGGATGAACTGTGAGTCTTTCTGTGGTCTGAACACACGGCAAAAATATATGTGCATAATCATCTCAAAATATTTCGAGGAGAAAGCTGTCCGTGATCTCAGAGGATAAAATCATTGGTTGTTCATCTGTAGGAGTGATGTTAGACAGATATGAATACACGCCAAGATCCGTCTCAAATTAAATCTGCTGGAAAATATGCATCCTGAGGCGGTGTGGGATCAGATTATAGTGGCAAAGGTTCAAACATTCATAGAGTTACCAAACTTACCGCCTGGAGCTCTCGTTCCTCGAAGATCCGGGAGAGGATGAGGCGGCGCAGCGGCACCGTCATGATGAGGACGAAGGGGAACGCCAGCGAGGCCTCCGTGGACTTCACTACCCACAGAGCCACGATGCACCCCAGCTGGATGAGGGTGAACATGTTCATACGCCACGTCTTCACCTGAAGACACGGGGACGGTTAATGGGTTGGAAACCAGGAGGCCATACACCACAGTACATACACACAGTGATACATTAAACACTAACTGGCTCCATCTAGTGGAATTATGTGTGATCAATATGAGACAAACTTAATATTCTGTAAACTTTTCCAGTTTAAATCTGATACTAAGTAATATCAGGACCAGAATTTCCAAGTTCCATACCAAAACTGAAACCAAAAAATATATAATGTAATGTTTCTTTGGTTTGGATTCTACTTATTTTCAAGCATCGACCCCAAAAACTAAATTTGATTTAGTAAAGCAACAAACTTTATTAAATTGTCAACTTCAAAATAACTGCCAACTATATTGATAACAGATAAGTCCGTTCTAAAAAAGTAATATTTTGGTTTAACAATAAGGTGGTCTGTATACAAATTAACGGGTCTCCAAGCTGGATCTTGTGAATTTTCCAAAAGGGTTTCAAATGTAACTTGAAATGCAGAAAGATTATTCTTATTACCTATGTTATTTCATTATCAGTCACAACATCTTATGACATTATTGGTCAAGTTATTATTAATATTTATTACATCTTAGATCATGTACACATGATTTCACATTTTCAAGATATTTTTACATTATTGGGTGCTACAATCCTTACTGTCCACTGCAATGTATTCCATGGCAACATGTTGATCATGCTGTGGATAGCAGCATGATCAACATGTAAGTTGTGGATACTGACTTGTAGTGTTAATTTCGTCAGCTATTTTTTAAATTTAGTTTTAGTCTTAGTCCTGTGTTACATTTCCTTTTTAGTTTTAGTCATATTTAGTCACCTTCATCCTGTTTTTATTTAGTCAAGTTTTAGTCGACTAAAAGTCTGAGCATTTTAGTCTTATTTTAGTCGACTAAAACAGTAACTATTTTAGTCAAGATTTAGTCGACTAAAAGTCTGAGCATTTTAGTCATATTTTAGTCAAAGAAAACTAATTATGTCAATGAAAACTGTTGAGTCTTTTTTAGTCATCAGATTATATAGAACATTTCAGTCAAACTAGTCTAACCAAAACCAATACTTTGTCATTTTAGTATATATAAATAAATAACATTATATCTTGTCCTTATTTGATGAAAAACTCAGTTTGAATGATTGAGAAGCTTTGCAGAGAGTATCTGCTCAGGTTTGTGGTGTTTTCTGTGTTATGGCCACATTGCTTCCCTTCTTATGAAACAATGCATTCGCTTTTTATCTCCGCCTCATTGTAGCGAAAATGGGCCCAAATATCACATCGTTTCTTTCTCCCAAGCAGTGGTGGCGTTAGACTTTTTCGTTGTCAGTCATTTTGACGGACAGGATTGTAACATTTCTGTCATAATCCATTATTACCCGTCGAGTGCACAATTTATCACTCACTCGCGCTGACGGGGGGGTATTCGGTTAACGCGAGTGCGACCACTGCTCCCAAGCCCTGTTGTTGCCATTTTATTTTCTGTTAAATAAGGTTAGTTAGACCATGAGTTAGACCCGAGTCTTCCTGACAGTTCACAGTGTGCCGCTGCCCGGTGTAATTCAAATGTGCCGCCGCGCGCAGCCCAGACACACAGCTGCTGCCCAGCGCAGCACCGGAAATGGAACTGCTGGGAGAAAAACTGACTGATCAGAAATGTAACGTGACGGCCCGTCTACACTACAGGCGTCAAAAAATGCTTTCAACGCTTCGCCCATTCATTTGAATGGGGTGACGTAGGATATTTTCAAACTTCGCCGAACTGCATTGTGGGTAGCATGGCAAGGCGTTGCAAGCATCGCGAGCGTCTATCGGCGTCGATGCTTGCTCGAAGCTGGCGTCAGCTAATCAAATCCCGTTTTTGCAATTCCCGCCAGTACAAGCGCTAGCCAATCAAACCGCGTGCAAGCTGGGAGAACCAGACCGCAGTTCATTTCCTCATATTCCAAACGAGAAATTACGGTAGCAAATCACCCGGTTATTTCCGACCAGAACTATTTACCGGGATACAAACCGGAGGAACCAGGCATGGAGGGAGGTGGCAGAGACAGTGGGTGAAACTGGTAGGTTTTCGCCTGTTTGTGGAGTTTATATCCAGTTTACTTCGTTTTAAAATTGCTATTGCTTTGTATGTCGGGGGCGGGAGATTCATGTGATTGGTTGTTGGTCGCGTTGCTCGCAAAAAATCGCCAAGCTTCAGACACGCCCAGCTTCAAGCTTTTTCGACGCCTGTAGTGTAGACGGGCCGTTAGGCTTGTTTGAGACAAGCGAGACCTGCGCAGACCTGCGCAGTTGCGATCAACGTCTTGCTAATGCGTTGCATGATGGTTAGTCATTTTGTCCGACTTGCTCTGGAGGCCGGCCTACATGAGACGTTGAAATCTCGCGGGACAAAGACGGCCGCAGCCTTGAGAGCGAGGCGAGGCGGCGCAGTTCCTCTCCACGGGCTGCGGAAGCGAAATGCTTGATGGGAAACGACTCGCTGGTATCTCGAGCTGAGCGCTCATTGGTGGTTTTTACCACGTGCTGGTGATTAAACTCTCCAATTGGCTCGTCAAAAGTTTGTTGTTGTTTTGTGTCAGTTTTACGTCGCCACATCCATTCCCATTTTTCATCATTGTTCCACAATGTTTATCATAATGAAATTAATATCCATATATTTTATACTATACTTGCACTGCTTACCGTTTTCATACTTTATATATCTTAGCATATTCATACACACTGTTCATACTGCTCACAGGCTGCTGTGTATATCTAGTGTATTCATACCCCTCACTGTGTATTCATCATTCAATTCATTCTATATTTTATTCTGTCTATTGTGTACATTACTTTTCACTTTACTGCTTGTTGCACCTGGTTAGAAGCTAAACTGCATTTTGTTGTCTCAGTACCTGTAATATGTGCAATAACAATAAAGTTGAATCTAATCTTGAGCAGGAACAAATGTATTTACTTAGTACATATCTGACATTAACGATTAAACACGTGTGCATTATTTATAAATGCAAACCGAGTCAAGCCGACTCCGGAGGTGGCGGTATGCACCTTAAAGTTGTTTGTAATCCGCCAAAAAACCGAGAGAAGAAGAATAAGGCGGAGAAGAAGATGAAGAAGACGAAGCCGACTCCGAGCTGTCCGACTTCAGGCGAGCTTTTTGAGACCTCCCCCGGCTGCGATCGGCTACTCTCGTCTACTTTCGAGGCGAGCCGCAACGCGTCTCAAACAAGCCTGTTATCTTTGATAATATTTCGTCTCCTCATTTTTCGTCAACGAAAGTAAAGACAGATTTTGGCATAGTTTTTATTTAGTAAACTACATTTTCGTCTCGTCACTTTTCGTCGACGATATTGCATGATGATTTCGTTGCAGTTATTGTTTACTGACGTCGGTGCCGTCTCGTCATCGTCTGGTTTTCGTCATGGAAAAAAAGGTCGTTGACGAACATATTTCGTCATAGTTTTAGTCAACGAAATTAACACTACTGACTTGTAAGCTGCGATGTTATGTCCTCTTCCATTTTGTATTCTATGTTATTTGTTGAGGTAGGTAGTTCAGTTCAGCGTTAACTTGTTTTCGTTAATTATATAATGTAACTTATGAACATATTTTCATTTATGTTGTTTATTTGATTGTAAAATAAAGTTTTTTTGCCAATTATGTGTCTTACTATTTCTTATCTTTGTTCTAAATTAGCAAATAAGCATAAGGACATGTACTTATGTGTCGTTATGCTTATTTGTTAATCAATATTGTCATCTAACACTTTGCAAGAAGGCCCAAGTATTTCCCAAAATGTCAGACTATATCTTTAAGGTGGGAAGGTTCAGCTCAGGCTTACAGCTCCTACTGTAGCTCCACGTCTTTCTTGAAACAATGGTCAGGTTCGTATATCAACACTACAGATGTAACAATACCAAAAACTCACGGTACGATAATATCGCGATAAAAAGTCCACGGTACGATATTTATCGCGATATTGAAAAATAAAGGTGAAAAAAAAATGTGAATTAAAATTTTTTTTTAACATATTTTACCGTGATTAAATTGTAATACACGTTTCTAAATGATGCCGACGTAACAACATACTGATGCCGGTTAGTAAAAACCATGAATTAATGCTTTGACAAGTCTGCAGACAGACGGCAGGCGAAAAACCTTTTAAAATGCTTGTTTTCTGAATGGAGATTGGGTCGACCAGGCTAAGCTAACGTTGTATATGCTCACTCCACACTCATAACAACAGCCTGCAGACATAAATAAACCAGCGACTGTATTCGCCATGACACAGACAGTCTGTGGTTTGTACTTTTAACTTTTGTACAGTTTCTGAACAGATATGAGGAGCTGTGAGCTCTGTGTGCTAACTGCTAACAGCTGATGTTTTCTGGTTGAACGTCAGTAACGGCAGGCTGAGATACTCACCGCTGATTGGCTTCCTCGAGAACGCGTCACGTGAATTTGACGCTCGAGTTGAAAAAATTGAACTCTCGCGTTTGACGCGGCACAGTTCAATCGCCTCAATCGCGTGATTCGCGCCGCGTCCACCGCTTCATGCTCGCCGTCGGAGCGAATTCGCATCTGTCCGCGTCTCTGCATTGACTTTACATGTATTCGCGCCGCCCCCAAACATCGCATCGTGTCCGGTCTGAACGCAGCATATGTCTGATCCAAATTGTTTTCTCTCCTGTGTGTATAACTTTGTTTGGTTTAATCTGTGAAACAAGTAGGAAAATATGTTGCCACGTGAAATAAAACATTTTTTGGCAGGATAAGGATCTGAATGACTTTTTATTTATTTATGTGAAAACAAGGGGAGAAAAGTGAAATGTTGGCGAGGGAAACTTATTTTTTAACCTGTGTTCACATTTTACATTTTGTTTCCAGATCATAGAAAGAATATTATTTCAAAACCCATTTCCCACCTTATCCATCATAAGTCAATAACACAAAAAGTACATCCTCACTTTCACAGCCCCCCTTATAACTCTGGGGTCTGAATTCAAGCAGAATGTTCCCTTCTCCAGGCATCTTGGAAGTAGGTGAAATCCCTACTCTGTCATTTCTTTATCAAAAGAGAGTTCGACACGGATTTGCTTGTCATGGAGAAGTCCAAAACTGTCACAGCTGTAAATCAAATCAATTTACTGCTGAGTCCTCCACCCGGGAATTAGTTAACATTTCAATCCCTGTCTCAGACTCAATGTTTTCTTGAGCGTATTTTGATGGTTGAAATACGGCCAATATTAGCCGCCTTTAGCTAAATGGTGGTGACATGCAGCCATGTGACTGTGATTTAGTTAATTTATAGTCTAACATTAGCTTTTTACTTCTGCCGACTGCATGTATGCTTCAAACATCATATAAGTGGTGTTAACTGACCTTGAAGCAGGCCGCTGTGTCTGTAAATGCTTTGGCTAAACTTCGTGTATGACTGTGTTGTGATTGTGTGTTTTTTTAATTGTCTGTAACTGTAAAACTGTCTGAAACTGTGCCGTTACCATTCTTGGGCCAGGACTCTCTTGAAAAAGAGATTTTTAATCTCAATGAGACCTATCCTGGTTAAATAAAGGTAAAATAAAAATAAATAAAGTTAATATGTGGAGAATATCCTGCATTTTTTGACAATGGACAAATCACTTGCTTTTTGGATGCTAACTTCCAGGTCAGCCTAACCCATATGTCATGGCTGCACCAATCTATACTCAGGTCTCTCGGTCAAATCAAGCTGTAACCCAAGAAAAAAAACACCAGGTCTCTGCTGCAGTAACCACTCAGCTGGGTTTGTCTTCTCGTTCTTACCACAAACTATAAAATACTTGGCCATGTCAACATTCATATTGCGTGTTTTACCTTGGTAACATAGATGTGTTCGGGATGATGCTTGGCGGGCGTGACCATGAGTGTGATGCGTTCGTACAGCTGGATGCCTGTCAGAGAGGTGACCCCCATGTACAGGAAGATACCAAAGAGCACCGCCAGAGGGATGAGGCGCAGCACGTCAGTCATCACTATGGACAAACCTGAAGGGTAGACAGGGGTTCAAGGGGAATTAGGGTTAGGGTTAGGTTTGGATAAACTGCAAACATCAGAATAATTTGCAACTGTTGAGAGAACTATTTATTGAACAAGCAAACATCCTTCATGACAAACACAGTCAAAAGCGTTTATTTGAACCATATTCACTATTCGTCTGCCTTGGTTTAAACGCTCTTTGAGCTAATCCTTAAAATCTTTCTCCTAATCCCAACAGCATTTCAATCAAACAAAAGCTCAAAAATCATGATGACTCATTATGGTCGTATACCCAAACAGGATTAAATACTTCGATATTTTGTTGGCAACATTTTTATTCTGTGGATGAACACGGAGATGCCATGTCGGATATTACTTTTTAAAGTTTTTCAAAAATCGTTTTTGATTCATATTGAGGACAATTCGTAAACAGAATGTAAAATCCTTGATAGCTTTTGCTACGGCTGATTGATACTCCAAGAATGTCTAGACATGCAGGAGCTGCAGAAGTGGCACTCTGTACCTTTAGAGCTTATGTTTTCTTTCAAGACACATTTCCTGGAAAGTCCAGCACTGTAATAAGAAAAATACAACCCCAACAGACGGATAATAAAATGGAATAATTGCTCGGGAAGTGTTCAGTAGCTCAGATCCCTCTTCTCCTCCAGCTCCGTACAGATGCACTGTTGTGTGTTGAAAATATGTGTTTATTGCGACTTCTTATGAGATTTTGTGGAATTAAAAGCTTTTCTTGATTATTTCTTAGGTCTATAATTGCATTTACAATCAAACTAATATTCACATTGCACTCAAAAAGGAGCATTCTACCAACCACTAACCCTAACCCATTTGCTAGGCCTCATCACCCTTGGTTAGCTTTGCTTTGCCTGTCAAGCTTTATGTTCTAGCTAATGGTGGTAGATTTACTCTGCTAAATTCTCTGTTTTTTAGAAGTAATGGGTCTCCAGTTTACTACTGTTGTAGAGAAGGCTTTTAGTTCCTACCCAACTCTGGTTGATTTTGGCTGAAATCCCAACTGTCGCTGGCAGTTTTCCAACTGTAGCTCCTGTAAGCTAACAATAACAATATAGCTATAAATCGGTTGAAAACTCCTGTCTCAAGCTGAATTTTCTCTGATATACTAGCATCTTGGGCATCTTTACTGAGGTTAAAATCAAGTCAGAATAGGGGGGGTTTCTTTCAAAGACTTCTTTACAATCTGAGTTTTTTAAAGAGGTGCAGTCCCTCCCTGCTGACAATCAGAAACATTGCAGGTTAAATGCTCTCCCATGGAAGTTTGCAACTTGTACTTTATATTAAAGGAATTATTATGACATAACAGGTAACACAAACAAAGAATGAAGTTGCTAATGCCTTTGCTTTGGAAATAATGCTAAGCGCAGAGCGCTAGTTAGCAGGCTAGTAGACCAGGCATTTGCAGCTAAAGATAAACACATGTTTAATGCATTCCTTTGATATATATTCTTATGATTTTGGTTCTTTAAAGGCAAAATAAAGATACCAGCCCTTGAAGCTCTTGAGATGATAAGTACCACTCCTACAGTATAGGCTACTACTGCCCCATACATCAGTTTTCAGCATATAGAAATCTAAAGCTCAATATGCCTGCGTGCCTATAGTTGCTAAGCTATAATTGTAAAATCTCTGTTCCCAACTTTCTCTTTCCCCTTACCAACGAGCACAGCCACAGCGAGGCCGGTGAGCCTCTGTTCCTTCACCTCCTGGATCATGGGCTTCTCACCAGGCGCCGTGGCTTTGCTCATGACGGTGAGGGCGTTGACGTGAGTGACGGAGCGCACGGTGGCAGCGGTGAGCCACGGCAGGCCGAAGAGAGGACAGAAGGCTCCCAGAGTGACGATGAGCAGGAGATCCAAGTGGAACCCAGAACCTTTAACCAGGTGACGCTCCTTCTTACTGACTATCAATCTGATGGATTGGAGGAAACATTAGAAAAGTCAGTAAACCTTTCTTTTAAACACAGATTCTGCACACAAAACATAACCATAAAAATGTATACTGTACGTACGATGTGATCTGAGTTTCCATGAAAATGAGGATGAAGACAAGGATGGCAGGAACAATAGAGGCTCCCATCATCCAGGCAGGAAAGGGCTGCTTGTCACCAAAGGGGCTGATGAGCCAGCCTCTCTTGTCAGGGGAGGTGACGGAGAAGCCCGACGGCACATTGAGTTTCTACAAGGAGGAAAATAAGAATAATAAACTACTGAGAACACATTTCCCAGATTTGTTTGAAATGCAATTAAAATTCGGACAATTACCTGTGTGTAAGTGTCGGAAATGGAGTAATCCACCAGCACTGAAACTAAAATTGAGATGGGGATGCCAAAGTCACCAATGATTCTTCTAGCCTGGGGATAAAGAGAAACCAAACATGGATCAAATCAAGTCAACCCTTGTCAAAGATCTTATCACATAAAAAGTAATATGTAATCCTTAGAGTACATTTTAACCCTTGTGTTGTGTTCTAAAGTTGTTACCGTCCATGGTGTTCGCGGGTACATTTTGACCCATGATGACAAAAATGATTGTTACAGTGGATGGTGGGGTGGGGTGTCTAAAGTCAAAGGGCGCGCTTTCACACCGGAGTACTGTTCCCCGTACTTTTCCCTTTTAGTTCCGATAGTTCCTGGGATTTTGCGTTCACACCAAAAAGAGAACTTAGGACTTAGAACTTAGAAAAAAGTTCAAATTTCTGATTCTGGCGAATTGCAAACCACCGCCCGTAAAACTCTGAAAAGTTTTGTGAAACCGCCATTGTATTTGCTGGCATTAGCATTATTAGCATTAGCCCAGCGCACCAACGGAGAGACACTAACTTATGGCAACACAAAAAAAAACATGGGAGCGGTGGAGATAAAGAGGTGTTAGCGTTCTGGCGATTTACTCGGAAGGCTTCAGTAGAAGCTGCTGGGAGTCCCAGCAGCTACTACTGAAGCCAGTCCCCAACTCCGGGGACTTCCGGCCGGGGACTTCGGGTGGCAGTATACGCCGTGAAGTTGTTTGCGGCCTGCCAGTAAACCCAAAGCAGAAGAAGAAGAAGTGACGTCAGCGGCTTCATTTGCGTAATCTTCCCTCAGGGACTTATTCCGGTGTGAACGTGATCCGCTCTTTAGTTCCATGGGGGAACTAAGTGCTGGGAACTAAGTACGGCAAAGTACTTGGTGTGAAAGCGGCTAAAGATGAATCTTGATTGGGCCAAATGTGACCCCGAGTCACCCACAACAATGCTGCTGGGTCTTCCCAGACCCTAACACCAAATGATACACTTTTTTTGGTTTTTAATAAAAGCAGGACAACATTGAAGCTTTTTTTTTTTGTGTGTTTTGTTGCTATGCTAACAGAATATTAGATGACATTTAGCTTTGCTGATCAAACCTTTGAGATTGACTTAAAGTGAACAGATATTCAGAGAGTATAATTGTAGAAAGGTTGCCTTCCCTCAACGCAGCAGGTTGTCCTCATTTACCGCCCCCCCCAAACCTTCCACCTCATTCATGTCTGAGTTCAGGGCGTTGCCTGGACCTGAAAACATTCGGGGCTTAGCCCACAGTGGCGGCAGCCGAGGCGCTACAGAGGAATGTTCTACTGCAACTCCCCACACGCACACACACAGTAAATATTTAAGTTAAAAGCCTCAATCTGGTGCACTTTGAGAGCAAAATTAAGAGATCTATGGATACATCTCTCAACACCCATATGAAGATTTTCTTTTTCTTTCAATGTTAGGGTTAGCAGTTATTTTTAATGAAATAAGTGAAAAGATTCAAGCTCCGTGTTTTTCTTTTTTGTATTTATGGGCAAATATCCCCTATTATAGTGTATATAAGTCTCTAATGAGTGACATATATCATTAGCTGAGGTTGTGCTGATTTCTGGGATGTGTAACACTTGATTATACTGCAAAGAAATTACAATTTATAAGGCAAAACACAAAAGTATACAAAAACGGAAATGTCCTATGTGGGACTCAGAGGGTTAATATACTGAGTAAAGCAGGGTACCTTGCCACCTAAAAAACGACTGTTTCGGAGCTTCCTGAGGAAGAACGCCACGAAGAAAGTCCCAATCATGAGGACAAAAGACAGGAGAGCTGTGTTGGGCTGGTTGAGGAGGTGGTCATTAACTTCTTCAGCTGAGTTTGGGTCACTTGAGTATGTAGCCATCAGTGGATGTTCCCTGAACACCTAGAAACAAAAAGACGGTCTTACTTATTTACAGTGGCTCTTTCCAGATATGATAATAGAAGGACTGAAACTTATAAGGATTTAAATTTGCATAAAAAGCTTTCCTTTATTGTCAAATTATTCTCTAACTCAGTGTGCTGTGTGACATCTGGCGTTGTTACCTTGAAGAGCTTAGAGAAGGTCTCATAGATGAAGATGAGAGAGATGAGGAAAGCAAAGATCTCCTGGGTAAAGGGTGAGATGAAGCGAACGAGGAAGCTTCCCTCCGCTGCTACCATCACCAGGACGATGAAGATGAGCCAGAAACCAATCCACACACGACCCGTCAGATACTCAAAGTTGTGGGCCTGACAGAACTGAGTGAAAAGACAAAGACATGTTATTTACATACAGAAGTCCTGAGAGGCAAAACTACAAAAATCTGCTGGTCCATTTTCCAGTGTGATATATTGTTTCGATCAGGTTACAGCCATAACCACCGAACATAAATCTGAACCGGTCATTTATCCAAGTTACTTTACTATGCAAACAGTTGGGAAAAATGGTTTGTGCTCCATCAACCCGTGTTCTAATTAAGACGAAAAGCATTCATGTTTTCCAACAAAAATAAATAAATGACAACTTGCTAATGTGCAGCATGGATTCCTTCTGTTAAGTGCAAGAAATGTAAACTCACCAAGAAGAAAACATGAATGGTTTAATGTGTGTTGGTGCACTTCTTCCTCTTGTGGTCAAAATGAGTATTACAACAACACAAACGATTTCCCCCCCCCCCCCCCCCCCCAAACAACTCTTTGTCCACCTGGAACCCTGTGAAGCCTGACACATCAAATAATAGTCAGAAAATTCTATTTTTTTTTTTAAATTGAGGTGTTTATTGAACCTTTTATCAAAATACAACAACAAAATATTTGGTAATTACATATATGATTTTTTTTAATCATATTTGATATGTCAGGCCTTTATGGCAATGTATTGAACAAAACAACGTCTCCTTTTGACACAAAAACAAATATTGATTATTACATTTGGAAGATTTTGAACATGTCACAACCTGAACCAACAGGCTGCGACAAAGAAGGGAGATGCGTGCCACAACAAGGGGTATTGCGGGGGAACTGCGCTCCTTGATCTTTTGGGGGTTCCAGCTATTGGCCCAGGTGCCACCCGTGTGGCTGATTAGACGACAGCCCCGCCCACCTCCAGGAACCTGCTAAGACCCTGCAGGCAGTGGGCAAACATTTCAACTGATTTTGTTCCGTTTTTTTTTTAACAGGAGCCCTTTTACAAGCTCTATTTTGCCTTGTGATAGGACAAAAAGCAGTTTCTGTCCTTGTTGAGGCACAGATGGACATTACATTTCCCACAGATGTGTGAAATGATTGCCTGTGCAGTGCTTGCATCTCTGTCGGGTTTCCCATGTTGGGGAATGATCAATGCCATCCTTTCTCACATCAGCAGGCACACTGGAGTGTTGCCTTTTACGGGGGGTGTTGAGTAGTGTTAATTTCGTCAGCTATTTTTTAATTTAGTTTTAGTCTTAGTCCTGTGTTAAATTTCCTTTTTAGTTTTAGTCATATTTAGTCACCTTCATCCTGTTTTTATTTAGTCAAGTTTTAGTCGACTAAAAGTCTGAGCATTTTAGTCTTATTTTAGTCAAAGAAAACTAATTATTTTAGTCTACTTTTTGTCAATGAAAACTGTTGAGTCTTTTTTAGTCATCAGATTATATAGAACATTTCAGTCAAACTAGTCTAGCCAAAACCAATAATTTGTCATTTTAGTCAAACGTATTTCACAATAAGTTTATATCTTGTCCTTATTTGATGAAAAACACAGGTTGAATGAATAAGAATGCAGCTTTGCAGAGAGTATCTGGTCAGGTTTGTGGTGTTTTCTGTGTTATGGCCACATTGCTTCCCTTTTGATAAAACAATCCATTCGCTTTTTTTCTCTGCCTCATTGTAGCGAAAATGGGCCCAAATATCACATTGTTTCTTTCTCCCAAGCAGTGGTGGCTTTAGACTTTTTCGTTGTCAGTAATTTTGACGGACAGGATCGTAACTTTCCGTCATAATCCATTATTATCCGTCGAGTGCACAATTTATCAATCACTCGCGCTGACGGGGGGGTATTCGGTTAACGCGAGTGCGACCACTGCTCCCAAGCCCTGTTGTTCAGTGGCGTTTTCTCCCGGAGGCCAAGGGAAGCCAGGCTTCCCCTGTTTTTTCGGATTGTAGTTATAATTTAAATAAATAAATAAAAACACTTTGTTTTGTTTCAATAATTCTCCTTTGCTGTGTGTTGCTGCTGGCCCGTCTCTCCCCCATTCTCATTGAGTATTTTACAAAGAGTGAAACAAACAGCGCCCCTCTAGATGTTATGGTGAAACAGTAGATTGCACTCTGTTGCGAGAGGAGGCCAGCCGAATCTGGCTTCCCTTGGTGAAAAAAATGGAGGGATTGACCAATCAGATGAGGCTCACGTGATGCCCCTGCCAACCTGTGATTGGTCAGGGCCATGCCAAGGGAAGCCAGAGGCGGCTGGCTTCCCTTGCCTCACAATCCAATCAAATCGCATCAATTTAGTGTTGCAGTGACGCGTCCTAAAATCCGGAAGTAAGCTGCTCTCGGTTTCCCTCGACAAAAAAGCAATGAGATTTCTTCATAGGATTTAGGAAAATAGCTCGAAATAAGGTCAGTGGAAAACGAACCTGTTAGATAAATGCACGTTTTGTTCAGTCGGATAATATCCACATGTCTACCCTACTTTTATCATTTTCTAATCATATATCTAATCGATAGAAGATAGATAGCGTCACTGCATCACTCTCACCGCCGTTAGAAAGTAGCAAGCAACTGAAGCAAGTGCAATTATGGAGGGTGGAAATTTGGAGTATTTCATCAAAAATAATTGTACTAAACTTCCGCTACCGCAGCAACAACAAATACAATCTGATGACAGGCCAATGCCCAAACTGGAGCTGTGTACAGCGAGGAAAAAAGGAGCGAATCGGACGTAAAACGTTAAAGGTCTCCTGACTTGGTTTGTGAATGAATGCTTATTAGAGTTTCGGCTGGAGAGTGCGTGCGGACCTGTCGGTTAGATAACAAGCGTGTGTAAGTCCTGCATATGATACAAATGTGTGTAAAATGATACCGGGTGCTGTAATCACTCATCTGGTTACGTTATTACATTGACCACCACACCCCCTACCCACAAGAAAGGACGTATTATTGGCTTTCCCTAATTTTTTTCCCACGTCACGCTACTGCTGCCATTTTATTTTCTGTTAAATAAGGTTAGTTAGACCATGAGTTAGACCCGAGTCTTCCTGACAGTTCATATTTTGCCGCTGCCCGGTGTAATTCAAATCTACCGCCGCGCGCACCACAGACACACAGCTGCTGCCCTGCCGCAGCACCGGAAATGGAACTGCTGGAAGAAAAACTGACTATCAGAAATGTACGTTATCTTTGATAATATTTCGTCTGCTCATTTTTCGTCAACGAAAGTAAAGAGAGATTTTGGCATAGTTTTTATTTAGTAAACTACATTTTCGTCTCGTCACTTTTCGTCAACGATATTGCATGATGATTTCGTTACAGTTATTGTTTACTGCCGTCGGTGCCGTCTCGTCATCGTTTCGTTTTCGTCATGGAAAAAAAGGTCGTTGACGAACATATTTCGTCATAATTTTAGTCAACTAAATTAACACTAGTGTTGAGTCCGGTTCTGGAGAGGATAGTGGTCTGCCACGCTTGATTTTGCCCTTTCCTGCACTTGTAAGAGAAGTGCCAACAGAAGCCTGAAACCTTTGCAAGGCCATGGGTTTTATCCTGGGCTCACGTTTCTTCTGGTCTCTTCTGTAGAGGTTCCATGCATTGATAACTGCCACTGAGACAGTGTACCACAGCTGCATTTGTAGAGTGCAGACAGCATATCAAGGAGGTCAACACCTCCCATGAACTTGTTGTATGCTTCAACAATGGCTGGTCTGGGAACTATAATGTGTGTCTTGGTTTTTCGATCCCACCTTTTCACACTTCCAGTTGGTTCAATGCCAACATAAGAGGAGAGTAGGTTCACAGCTTTGTTGTCAAACCATCTAACGATGATGATGTTTTCCTGGTTTTCTCTGAAGTCCATTGACCCTCTTCCCTTTTTATTGAGCTCTTTTTCATCCATCATGTTGCAGTCTTTGACCCTGTTCATTTGGACAGTGCCTATGTAGTGGATTCCTCTCTCTTTCAGGTGGTCGACCAGTAGAACTGATGTGAAATAGTTGTCTGCAAAGACTTTGTGATTTCTTCCTGCTGGAAGGGTTGATGTCATTTTCAGGACAACATCTCCAGTAACACCAACATCAGATCTCTCCTTGTCTGGATTTTCTGGACCTTGACAAACATCAAAGTCATAAAGGTAGCCACTTTGTCCAGCACGTCCCCACATCTTGAACCCCCATTTGTGAGGCTTTGCTGGCATATAAACACGAATAGTGCTGCGTACCTGGACTCACATTCAGGTGCAGGTCCGGACTCAAGTCCAGAGGTTCAGGTTCTGAACCCATGGCTTGTGTCAAGTTGTGTGAGTAACTAAAGTGAACTTATTGTGAGCTAATTATCAATTGAAAATTAACTCATAATCAACTCAAATTCAAACTCATCAGGTTTATTGTGCTCCCTTCCAACTTGTGTCTACATTTCTCTACAAAGTACAAATGTAAAAAAAACACTTTTTGCCACTTAGTCTACAAATGACTTATGACAGCAACTACAGTGAACTACTACAAAGTTCAAACATGTATTTCATTTACCAAACTAAAGTAACCAAACAGTCCCTGAGCTGACTAAGCCTAAATCCCTAAAACGTTTCTGAAAGGTGGAGTGTAGAGTAGACTATACGCATTACACTGTTACACACCATAGGCTACACTGTAGTGAATGTACAGTTAGAGTGTACTGTCTGTACACCATGTATTTTCTACAACTCTACATGTGTACATTATACAGTACATACTACATACATAGTGATGTACATACTGTTAGAAATTAAAATCAATGTTGATATGGCGTAATTTTGAATTAAATACACTATTTAATTTAAATCAGTTTTATAAAAAAAAAAAACGGAAGTTCACACTATTAATGTTATACTTTTATTCTGAAAATTCTTCACTTCCGGTTAGCATTAGCATGTGGCGAAATGCTACGTTTTCAAACCGTGAATCGAAGGTGAAATATGTGATGTTGTACACTGAGCACACTGGGATTAGCACTCATTTATTGACGCTGAATAACGTTTATCAGGGAATGTTTAAATAACCACAGTCACCAGAATATACGTAAGTGCTAGTTTTTTTGCGAGTCCAAGTACCGGTTCCCGACGTTCCGGTTTTAACCGGACTTGAACCGAAACTGTTTACAAGTCCAGTACCGGTTCGGCGTACCGGTACGCAGCACTAAACACGAAGATGAGACTTTCCCTTGTACGGCACCATAATTTCATCAACTGCATGACATTCCTCGGGAGGTATGCATAGGAATTGTTCGCGTAGTTTTTTTAACCATGGCCTGAGTTTCCAGAAATTTCAGAAATCGATCTCGAGACATCACATCACAAACTGCAAGGTACTTTGTTTCCGTCTCCCAATAGGCTCTTACATTGGGCATCTGTACTAACCCCATTTGCATGTACATACCCAGAACCTGCTCAATTTCCTTGGCAGTTGTGTTGACTGACTTACCATGCTTCTGTACACTATACAAGTTTGTTTGTTCTACTATTTCCTGTAGCATTTCATCTGTAACAAACTGTTTGAAATACATGTATGGTGTGCAGTCACACCTGTCTTCTGAGGCTTCCTCAACACTTTCATCAAATTCAACAGCTGGAGGATCATATTGTACATTTCTCCACCTGTATTATTTCCTTTTCCCTTTGCCTCGTGCTGACTGCTTTGTTGTTGTTGTTGTTGTTGTTGTTGTTGTTGTTGTTGGGCCCTCTACTTCTTTCCTCAACTCTGCTCATCTGGTCAACACTTCCCTCCTCTTCACTATCACTATCTGAGCTTCCTAGTAAGCTTTGCGTTCCTTTTCCCTTTGCCTCGTGCTGACTGCTTTGGTATTGTTGTTGTTGTTGTTGTTGGGCCCTCTACTTCTGTGCTCAACTCTGTGCTCATCTGGTCAACACTTTCCTCCTCTTCACTATCACTATCGGAGCTTCCCTCAGTAAGCTTTGTGTTAGGAGTCCAGTCCTCATCATCATCCTCATCTTCTCGTAACTGCTCCATGTCACTTGAATTCCCATCCATAATCATGCTGATGGCATCAGCAACAGAGTATTTATTTGCCATCTAAAAGTAAATGCAAACACAAATTATGACATCTCTTTTTAACCGCTAGAGCCAATGGAATCAAGGGGAAGTTCCACATATACACAGTTACCAAATAAGGAGTGAGAGTGACGCGTAGCCAAAACCGGAAGCTGCATACACACAAAAAGTGACAGACACTGACAGACACTTTCAGCCGCGTTTTTATCGTTTTTATCGACTTTTGATCAGAATAACAGCTAAGGTGAGACGATGTTCCGTTTTTGCTCCGTAATGCTACGTGTTGTGATGTCTGTGTTTGAAAAAACACCCCACAGCCTCGGCTTAACAGGTTAATTAAATAATCTAAACAGTGTTTTTGGCATTCTGGTAAGCATAATGCAGATTGCATCATGAAATGTACTACAACAACACATATTTTCCAACGTCACATATTTTCCGGAGAAATGTACTCAAAAACCTGCTGTATACTATTTGATACATACATTTTCAACACGATTTCTCTATGAAATAAGCTACAAAATATAAACTGATTATACGTTGCTTCAATACAGTAAATATTCATAGTGAAATATCAGTCACAATATAAAAGTAATTCTTACCGTAATTTATTCAATATTGGCAAAGATGACGCTTCCAAAAGCGTCTGAACCGTTACATGACGGTAGCCGTTTTGGATTTGGTCATTAAAAGCGCTCTGCAGCCTGCAGTGCCCGGATGATCCACCAGAGGGCAGAAGACATGTATCACATTGCATACAACAGGTCTTTTAGGAACGTACTAGTCATTTGGATGACGTAGAGGTCTCAGAAACTCATGTATCAAATATGATACACTTGGTGTTATAGGGTTTTAACAGATTAAAAAAAGGAAATCATGTAAGTAGCCTAGTATACCAACTATACTTTATTCAAAAACACAGGAGAGAAAACTATTTTGATCAGACTTGGAAATTGGATCGCTAGAACTCTCCTCACAGAGCTTCCTTAGTTATATTCGGTCAAAACAAAATAAGAAATTACACAAAAACTGGAGTATGTGATACACAATGCATTAGTTACTGTGTATCAAATGTATATTACCTTGAAGTAGGCTTCTTCAAACACCAGTAACGGACCAGAGAACCCTATGATGAGGAGGGGCTGACCAGCAAGCAGTGAGAATATAACTCCCAGAGTTGCAGTTGACACAATAAGCTCAGTCACTCCCATCAAGCCTTCTGTTTTTTCACCTGTATGTGAAAACAACCACAAACACACCTTCAGAGCACAGGTATATAAACGGCATGGTATCCAAATGTCTTGTTTCTGGTAGTGTGTGTTTACCCAGCAGGCCTCCGAAGGTGATGGTGGGTGACAGTGCAGCAAAGTAGATGAAGATGATGGCGGCGAGGCACTGCATGTCCACGGAGTCCTTCAGGTCGCTGACGTAGTGAGGGTATCGCCGGCGGATGTCGTGGATCAGGCCTCCAAACGGGATCCCAGAGCGCTTCAACGGGTCAATATCCTGGTCCCCCCTCCTCCTCCTCCTCTGGACTCACCTCTGGGGGGTCGGTAGAAAACAAGTATACATGTCAGGACACTAGACAACATGGAAATTAAAGGCACAATCTTAACTGGTAATGTGAACACGAACAAGATCCTAAAGGTAAGAGCCAAGGGCCTGTGTCAACATAGCCTATTTCTAAACGCCAGCATTATTTTTCGATTGTTTCCAATTAGGAGAGAGCAGATGCCATTGCATGCAACTGCAATAATACAAAAGGGTGCCCCCAGCATTATGTTTCCAAAGTCCAACGTTCTTGTGCAGTCGCTCCGAGTGCTACAAGTTGGAACTATTTCAACTTTTCAGTATAGCGTTGTCACTGTGGAAATTGAAGGGGAAGATTGTTTTTGGGCCTGTCTTGAGACCGAAACTATCATAACAAAGAGAACAAGCTTGTTTGTTTGAGCAGATCGACAGGCGGACACTCAATGTTGCTGGTGGGTGTTTTGAGTGTACTTTTGGCGCGGACCGCTCTCATCACCCTACGGCTGGCAGATTGAAGGTTATTTATACAAAGTGTGAGATCAATAGTCTTTCAGTTGGTTGTAATGGTGAAAGTTCAACGTCAAACGAATCAGCACCCTGCTAGCGGCTTCATGCCAGAAAAATGTGGACAAAGGCCCCATCTGGCTATTAACTCTATCTATTATTATTTTGATAAATTCCTGAGAAGAAGTCAAGTACAAGACTTGTCAATTTATCAAAGGCCTGAGCCACCATGTTCCTTTATTACTATGAACACAGGTACTGAACTCATCACAGTGGAGGCTACCTTAAATACTCACAAGATCAACAAATGTGTATTAATCCTTGGCTGAAAATAGTCCACAACAAATTAACTTTGTATTCCTCTTTGAGTGGCATTTAAAAAAACTTAAGTGCCTAGGGAATGATTGAACATTTTTAGAAAATATTTGTAGGACCTGTTTTGTTTTAGATTTACCACTTTCATTTCAAACCTTTATTTAATCAGATTGGTCCCATTGAGATCATAGATCTCTTTTTCAAGGGAGACCTGCAGCATATAGGTTCCACATGAAACATAAAACAATAAAGGACATCATACATTATATTTACAGGATACATTTACATAGTTATAGACATTTACAAGTGCCCATAGTATCAACGAGCATTTCATTTAGCCTAGCTTTAAAAACATGCAGAGGATTGAGATTGCTCAGTTTCAATTCTTGCTGAAGATTGTTCCAAGCAAGTGGAGCTGCGCACATAAAAGCTGTCTTACCTTAAGACTGTCTTAAGACAGTCCTTGCTCTTGGCACATCGAACAATACTACATCATGCGATCTCAGACAATAGCTGCTTGCAACTCTCTGTGTTATCAGAGAGCAGATATAATACGGGAGTTTACCCAACAAAGCTTTATAAATAAACGTGTACCAATGACTGAGCCTCTTTACAGTAAGTGATGGCAGACCTGCCTTGGCATACAGGGTACAGTGATGAGTAAGTGCTTTACAATTTGTGACAAATCTCAGTGCGCTGTGATAGGCGGCATCTAACTTGTTCAGGCAATAGGCAGGTGCATTCATATACAACAAATCACCATAGTCCAGCACAGGTAAAAAGGTCACAGTGACTAGCCTTTTCCTGGCCTCAAGCGAGAAACAGGACTTGTTTCTGAAAAAGAAACCTAGCCTAACCCTCAGCTTTTTAAGCAGGTTATTGACCTGAAGTTTAAAAGTAAGACAATCATCAAGCCAGATACCTAGGTATTTATAACTGGTAACCACTTCAAGTACTTGTCCTTGCATAGTAACAATATCCAAAACAGGCTCTGGTGTCTTTTTAGCTTTTGAAAATAGCATGACCTTGGTTTTATCAACATTTAAAAGAAGCTTAAGTTCAGCGAGCTGAGTCTGAATAATGTTAAAAACAGCCTGTAATTTAACACCAGCCTCCTTGATGGAGGGACCTGCACAATACATCACGGTATCGTCCGCATACAAATGTAAAGTAGCTTCATCCACATTTTCACCTAAACTGTTGATGTATATAGAGAATAAAAGTGGACCTAAAACAGAACCTTGTGGTACACCATTAGTGATGTTTAACCACTCAGAAGACAGCCCATCAAAGTGAACACATTGGGACCTTTCAGAGAGGTAGTTCACAAACCACCCACTGCATGGCTGGATATGCCAATACTGAGTAGCCTCTGCTTTAAGATGCGATGATCGACGGTATCAAACGCTTTGGAAAGATCAACAAATAGAGCTGCACAACTCTGCTTATTATCTAAAATACTCGTAATGTCATTTACCACTTTCATTGTGGCAGTGATGGTGCTATGTTGTTTTCTGAAGCCTGACTGATGTTTAGACAGGATATCATTTTTACATAAAAACACCTTTACTTGTTCACTCACTAGGCGTTCGAGCACCTTCGCCAGAACTGACAATTTAGATATTGGCCTATAGTTATTTAAAATATTTGCCTCCCCTCCTTTTAGTAAAGGCAAGACATAAGCTGACTTCCATACTTTTGGAATTGCATTTGTGTTGAGGGATAGGTTGAAAAGAATAGTGAGAGGAAGAGCAATACAATCTGCAGCTATCTATAAAAAGAAAGGTTCTACGTTGTCCGGGCCAGCCGGTTTCTTAGGATCTAACTTGGTTAAGGCTTCATGAACAACATTAACAGTAAAAGGAGTCAAACTGAAAGGGTTTTCCAGACCACATTGTTCAGAGTCACGGATTGAGGTGTTCACAGAAGCAGTTAGAAACAGAATCAAACAGAGAGCCACAGCAGTGCATGACATTAAGGATTTTGGGAGATGGCTCTGTGGGCCATCTAAGCTAATTTACTGATGGCCCTGAGCCCAATAGAGATTGCCCTGAAAAATGCGTGCGGACGAAATGACGCACGAAGGGTTTAGGGGGCCTCCCCCTAGAACATTTAGATTTGTGCAGGTCTTAGATGCTGTCTGGTGGATTCTCTAGACTGAATTATAAGATGAACCACCACAATATTATATTGTACAATTTCAATTGTATTCTTCATTTCACTTGTTTGTTTGTTCTTGTTTGTGTTTGCTCGCTTGCATGCCCTGCATAGCTATAAGAAATACTTAAGTTGTTGGTCAAGACACTTTACATCTGATGAAGGCAAATGCCTTCCCAGATGTAAACAAGTAGAACACATTACATTCAGTTATAACTGCCAAAACAAACATTATTTACACTATTATGGCCCCTGTTAAAAATGTTTGTAATGTTATCTACTGTAAATTGGTAGAACGAATGCCTCCTCATCCGGAAGCTGACCGAGCAGACCCGAGCAGCAGTCGCGAGGAGCCGAGCGCATCCGCGAAGCACACAAAATGGCGACGTCAGAGTTCCCGTTAGCTGGCAAATCTAAATTTCTTCGGTCAAAATAATTTCCCTTTAGCGCAATACCGCTTCAGTTGCGCCACTTATGTGACAGACAAGAAGAGTCAATTATAATGTCTAAAGAAAGAGATGTCCTGTATGGGTTGATTGTGCGTTGATCTGTTGGTAATGCCTCAGGGTTCCGGTGGGCATGTAAACAAATGCATAATGCTGCGCTATACTTGTGGCCTCACCCAGTTGCATAGCAACACTTATTGTTTAGGTGTCTTTTAATAAGCAGGTAGTCATATCATTAGCTAGAACTAGCTGGATCTGATCGATATGGACATAAATGTGAGTGAAGTCTAATCTGACGGGAGAGAGATCAGCTGCTGCTGACGAGTCGACACGCAGCTCTGCATGATCACATGCAGCGATGAGCAGACAAAACACACACTTCAGGTTAGAATATCACACGTAGCTATTTTAATTACCTCTCAAACTACCTAAACTAGTTATAGATATGTTTAGTTTTACTGTCGGGTCACTCATTACTGGATCCACGAGCTGCATGATACTGGCATAATAGATTGCCCGATCGGGCAACCAGCAGATGAGGCTTCATTGCCCGAGCTAAATACTAGATGGCCCCGGGCCATCGGGCAGTCGTTAATGTCGAGCCCTGCACAGGACACAAAATGCTTATTAAAGCAATTTAACATGGTGGCCCTGTCCGATATAGTGCCAGATGCTGTGGTAAGGCACGGAGGTAGCTCATTACGGATATCACTGGTGGAAATCGATTTTATGGCTTCCTTGGATTATTTAGGTTTTCTGTGGTAACTGACAAATAGTACTTCGACTTAGCACTTTTGACATGTGAAGTGAAGCCATTTCTTAGCTGCCTAAAACGCAGCCATTCTATCTCTGAGCCTGATTTCCTAGCCTTTGCCCAGGCCTTGTTTCTCTCATGAAGGAGACTAGACAGTTCAGCAGAAAACCAAGGATTGTCTCGTCCCTTTACTCTAAATGTACGCAGGGGTGCATGTCTATCAATGATTTCCATAAAACCAAGATAAAAATAAGACCATGCAGTTTCTACATCAGCACACAGATCGATTTTTCCCCAATCAAAATCAAACAGATCATGAACAAAACCCTGCTCCACAAAATGTTTTATGTCTCTCTTAATAATAATACGAGGTTTAACCTTCTGGACCTTAGTGTCCCTAATTGTGGCTACAGCACAGTGGTCACTCACATCATTTGCAAATACTCCCACAGATGAGTATTTATAGGGAACATTAGTTAAGATGAGATCAATTAGGGAGGATTTATTAGGGGACTTAATGTTAGGGCGAGTAGGACTGTCAACAATCTGAGTAACATTTAAAGAGATACAAAGGTTTTTAAAATCCTCTGATACTGCAGTTAACCAGTCCCAGTTAAAATCTCCAAGTAGCACTATTTCCTTGTAGTCTAGCTGCGATAAAATATTTGCTGGCGAAGACAAGGAGTCCTTGACAGCTGAGGGGGGTCTGTAACAGCCCACCACCATGACCTGTTACCCTTTGCCACTTCTATATTTAAGGCGAGACACCCCAGGTGAATAGGGTAATTTTGTTTAACTTAAAGGTATCAGCTAGAAATGTCTCCAGTTAATTACTTATAATAAGGCAATTGTCTTTTGTATTACAAGTTTTCTGAAATAGCATGTTTAAATATGCAAATTATCCATTATCTCATTAAATATGCACATATTTTAACACATTTCAGGAAACGAAATCTGAACTTTGGATAAAGCCAGGTTCAAAATTCTTGTTTCATTTTGTAGTCATATTAGTATCTAAGGCTTTTACTGAAGGGATTTTGGATATCTCTTTTTATCACTCCATAAATCAGAAAATACTGTCAACAGCCCTAAAATATCAATTTTCGCCATGTTTGTAGGTATACAATGTTGTATAATTCAGGCTATGAATGATATATGAACAAACCATTCTGTAAAAGCCTTCATAATATTGATAGGAATATAACTGGAAGGTTTGGTGTCTCTACGTGCTACTGAAGTTGACATTTTGAACTCAGAGTAGGAGAAACAACTCATTTTGAGAAAACGACCTTTAAAGATTGCAGTGAGGCACTAGCTAAACCCTCCTGTTCTCTGGATGACAGCTTGCGCATCAACACACTCCGTGAAGGTATTTCATGTTCGGGGTCATTTGTTTTTTGTATAACCTTGCTTCGTGCAAGTGACAATTGTTGTCGTCTTCTCTGTGAAAGTTTTTTTCGCCGTTCTTTTGCCATTTTGAGATTTCAATTTCTAGCGGAAAGCTAACCAGGAAGTGTTTTAGCACACCACGTGACGCATCTGAACGAATCATGTTGTCAGAAATTGACACCAGCCAATGAGATTTTGTTTCTTGGTTTAAGACCCCTTTGTGCTTTCACGATTGGTTGCTGATACAAAGGAAATTACCATATTTGGATCCAATGAGATTGTACAGGAGAGACACAGCTTTCCAATGATATCTCTGTTGACATGGTGCACACAGCGGTCGTGGTACTTTATGTTACGTTAGAATGCTAACTTTTGGTGAATTTAGGAGAAATCTACAGATGCAAATAGACAAACTATAGTAAAATAAACACTTAAATGTGTATTTTGTACGTTTTCCTTCCAAAAGCCTGAAAGAAAACATGTTATAGAATCAAAATAGCACAAAATCTCAAAATTGACCAGTACTTGAAAAACGATGTTTTTGCCTGCCGTGTCTCGCCTTAAGGCTAAAAATTCGAATTGCTTACTGCTAGATTTGGAAACTAATGTGGATACACTGAACTTATTCTTAACATAAATGGCAACGCCACCACCTTTATTAGGCCGGTCGGAACGATACACATTTACACCATTTAAGGCAATGTCAGAGGCCAAAATTGATTTATTTAGCCATGTTTCTGATAAAACAATGACGTCAGCGTCAGTCGAGCTTGCCCAAATGCGGACAAAATCTAATTTACCTAACAGACTGCGCACATTCAAATGGATGAAACCCAACCCAGACCTAGCTTTAAAATCAGCAAGAGTAGCGATCTGACTACTACTACTGGGCGGACCAGGGTTAGGTTGTACATTTCCTGACAGTAATAGCAACAACAAAAAACAGGCATCTTTTCCTCTTAATCGACACATAGTCACACATACATTGTCATCTACTTTAGAATCACCGGAAAAGTCTGCGAGAGTGTGATTTGAGCTTAAGAAGCAGTCCTGAAGAACCATCATCGCAGGAAAACAAAAAAGACAAACATATTTTGTCGAGCAAATTGTGTGTGACAAGGCAACCGGTAATTGTTTGTGCAACACATCCAAACCTTTGCAGGGGATGCCCACTGCGGGTGGCAGAACAGACCTGAATCCAGTAGACTTCTCAGAATGACTAGAGATCTTCTCATAGTCCAAAACAGTTAACAGGCACAGCAGAATCCCGATATGGGCCATTTTCCCAGACCAGCACACAGTATCCGCGATGTTCCTGGAGCAAATCAGCACAGCAGCAAAGGACAGGCGAAAGCAGCAGCGTGGAAGCGCTCCGGTCTCTCCGTGGTATCCCCGGGGTGAAAGCAGGCCTCTGCAACAGCAGAACCAGGACAGGTGGAAATCAGGCCCCAGCCGTGGTAAAATCCTCCTCCGCACAGCAGCACACGCCCGGTGGAAGCAGGCCAAGCCCGAGGCGTGGATCCACTCCGTCTCTCCGCGACGACTCCGGGGTAAAAACCTCTCCAGTACAGCCGTACTCTACAGGTGGGAGCAGGCCTCCGTAGATCGCAGATCGCAGGCAGCAACAGGTGGAGCCGCTCCATCTCTTCGCGACATCTCTGGGGGAAAAACACCTCAGCACAGCCGTACTCGACAGGTAGAAGTAGGCCTCCGCATCCGTTTGATGTTTAAGTATGATGACGTGATGAGTGAAGAGCTCGTCTTCAAATGTAGGTCTCAGAAGAGAGCCAAGTTATTTTCTCTTTGGTTGGAAGGCCTGGGGCTGACATATTTAGGAAATATAATTTTAGTTGATAATACGAGAAATAATGAATAATGTGCCCATGTGTACAATGACGAGGCCTTCCTTTGGCGGCCACTGGTGGTTGTATCAAAAACGATTTTAAGAAACACAAAATGTGAATTTCTTATCAATAATTAATCTCAAACAATTAAGTTATTCATGTTATCTATTTATATTAATGTATCAAATTAATATTGTTACAAAACTGATCGGCCTTTTAACTATGCGGCTGGCAGCTTTAAAGTATTAGACAGGCTGTACATTTGAAGGGAAATGTTTCTCCTGATAAAATACAAAGGGATGTGAAACTTGACTAAATGAAAAGGCTAATTCAAATGTAGTAGCTTGAAAAAGCTTCAGATTCTAGAAAACGTGAATAGATTTATATAAGATATATAATTTTGAAATACAACCAATCTTACCTTCAGATCTATTGGTTTTTGTTTACTAAGCTGGTCGGAACTTCTCAGTGTTTAGTTCATTTGTAGCTGTTAAATGTTTCAAATCTATATTGGGTTTCCTATTATGCTATTTTTAGGCATATATTATGGGTCTCAGATATATAAAAAATATATTAAAAAACATGTCTATGATGTGTTTTGCTCAAAATACCAAACAGATCATGCATTTTAGACATCCCTCATATCCCTCTGTTTCAACCCTGTTAGAGAAGTGCAGGTTCGGAGTCCATAGCTTGAAAAAAAGATACAAGATATGTCCGAGATATAGCTAAATGCTGCTGTGATTAAGACGAGACACCCCAGGTGAATAGGGTAATGTTTTTAACTTAAAAGTATCAGCTAGAAATGTATCCAGTTAATTACTTACAATAAGGCAATTGTTTTTTGTATGACAAGTTTTCTGAAATAGCATGTTTAAATATGCAAATTACCCATTATCTCATTAAATATGCACATATTTTAACACATTTCAGGAATCGAAATCTGAACTTTGGATAAAGCCAGGTTCAAAATTGTTGTTTCATTTTGTAGTCATATTAGTATCTAAGGCTTTTACAGAAGGGATATTGGATATCTCTTTTTATCACTCCATAAATCAGAAAATACTGTCAACAGCCCTAACATATCAATTTTCGCCATGTTTTAGGTATACAATGTTGTATAATTCAGGCTATGAATGATATATGAACAAACCCTTCTGTAAAAGCCTTCATATTATTGATAGGAATATAACTGGAAGGTTTGGTGTATCTACGTGCTACTGAAGTTGAAATTTCGAACTCAGAGTAGGAGAAAAAACTCATTTTGAGAAAATGACCTTTAAAGATTGCAGTGAGGCGCTAGCTAAACCCTCCTGTCCTCGACGCACTCCGTGAAGGTATTTCATGTTCGGGGTCATTTGTTTTTTTTATAACCTTGCTTCGTGCAAGTGACAATTGTTGTCGTCTTCTCTGTGAACGTTTTTTTCGCCGTTCTTTTGCTATTTTGAGATTTCAATTTCTAGCTGAAAGCTAACCAGGAAGTGTTTTAGCACACCGCGTGACGCATCTGAACGAATCACGTTGTCAGAAATTGACACCAGCCAATGAGATTTTGTTTCTTGGTTTAAGACCCCTTTGTGCTTTCACGATTGGTTGCTGATACAAAGGAAATTACCATATTTGGATCCGATGCGATTGTGCAGGAGAGACACAGCTTTCCAGCGATACCTCTGTTGACATGGTGCACACAGCGGTCGCGGTACTTTATGTTACGTTAGAATGCTAACTTTTGGTGAATTTAGGAGAAATCTACAGACGCAAATAGACAAACTATAGTAAAATAAACACTTAAATGTGTATTTTGTACGTTTTCCTTCCAAAAGCCTGAAAGAAAACATGTTATAGAATCAAAATAGCACAAAATCTCAAAATTGACCAGTACTTGAAAAACGATGTTTTTGCCTGCCGTGTCTCGCCTTAAATGCCATATTATGTTCCAAACCACATCAAAGATTATTTCTGAAACAGCATGGAGCTCAAACGCTTTTTCGTTTACCACAAGGTGAGTTCCTTTTTTTATTTCCTGCTTTTTTACACATACTCTCTCCAGTACATGTTAGCTCTGAGTGTTAGTGATGCTAATGTAAACACCGACCATATTACGTCCAAAACACGTCGGGCATTGTTTCTGATAGCAACTTTCTGATAGTGCTGTGGGTCCACATTTCCGATATTACGTCATATCGGCAGCAAATCTGGATCAGCTCCGTTGTAGCCCCGTTTTTAGAGATTTGCGCACGGAGAAAAAGAGAGGGTTTTGTTTTTTGACACTTTGTGAGTTCCCTGACACACTGGGGACACATTTATGTATAAAAGACATACAAAAGTGCATTTTGCATGATAGGTCCCCTTTAAAATAAGTTTGACTTTAACCAATGGATCAGTACTCCATTGCAGGACTAACATTGGTGTGAGTAATTGAAGCCTTGGCTCTTCAGGGACTTGACAGAGTACCTTTGTTGTTGTGCTCCATTCCAGCGGAGGATTGGTGCCTCTTGAGTTCCCTCTCCTTCCTCTTGCGCAGCATCTGCTTCTGGAAGTCAGCCACCGTCTTCAGGAGGTCTTTGCCCTCCACGTCTGAGGGGGGGATTACGATGCTGCAGTCCAAGAACTCGTTGATACCGTTCAGGAGGTCTTGTCTGTCGTCAGCGAAATAGGCCACCTCATGGAAGCTCTGCAAGGAAACACAATCCATTGTCATCACCAGAATGAATAACAGGCAAATCAAAGACTTCCAAAGGGTTGTTACATAAATTATTTTGACAGGAACAATGGGCAGCTTTTATTCTGGCGTGTTCTCTCGACTTTTATATTCTGGCACCATTTTCTAGGCTGTCTTCCTTGCAAGACCTTTTTGTCAAGTTGGTTAGAAAAATGAAGTATTATGTCTTAGATGTCCACCAAAACACTGAATAACTACAAACATATGTCCTGGAAGAACATAGCCTCTTTATTTTGTACTTCTTTTTTAAGGCTTTCTTTTATATATTACAGATAAACAGCAGTGATACATTTGTGCCAACCGACTAAAAGGACTTTAACAACAAGAGAAAAACAAGTTGGGGAAAATCAATCACTTAAATAAATACAGTAATATAATTATTGCTTTAAACATTAGGCCTTTATAGTACATTTTAATCAGAGATATCAACTTAAGTTATTAGTTTATATATAATAAACTAAGTTGATTTAATGACTTTGTTAAGCCGTTTTCTACTTTATCCTATTCCAATGTTTAGCTTTTTTCAATCAATTATAAATCACATTTTTGACTTTTGTGACTGAATCTGATTGACATGGTATAACATACAGTATATGCTTAGTTTTATATCTACCTTATCTGACATGAGGGTTGAGAAGGAGCGTCCGATCTCATGATAGTCCACGTTGGCCTGACTGGGGCCCAGCAGGACGAAGAGGAAGCGCACAGGGACAGGGACCTCCAGCACGGACTCCAGGAGGACCGCCTCGTTCAGCCGCACGAAGGCCATGGCCGGCTGCTCCAGGAACTCAGCGTTGCCTGAAAGGAAATAAGTGACAATAAAATATGCAGTGATTTTTCACATCTCTGCAGGAAGGAGTTTAGTAGGGGTTTTTCGAGAGAGCAATACTGTGGCGCTGATCTTGTATATAATATATATATATATACATTTTCACGAGAACATGACCCCCGTAAACAACAACACGACATCGGAGCTCCTTAACAACAAAGCTGTTTATGCCGTCTGACGGTCTTTGACACGATTTTCATATTTTTTGAGTAATTATACCGTAATTGAAGAACATAAATACTGTTTTCTGGCATCATTTTAACATTTTTGTATCAGTTACCTGTTACCCAGTTTAGACAAAACCCTGGGTTTAGGTACTTTACTGGTAACAGAATCTCGGATTGTGCTTTTATATTACACAGGTAAATGTAATACTCGATTATGATTCGAAATTTGACAGTCTTCTCTTTCCTGATTGTAAATTGTTGCTATGATCTGATCAAGGGAGAATGTGAATTCATATTGATCCGCAGAAAGATCAATTTAAAAATGTTTCAACTGTGACCCAAAAAACACATGTCCGTTTCTTTACCAGAAAACCGCATGGTTTACTTTCTGAATATTCATAGTTTTATTCGTGGATAGCACCAAACTTTGAATTCATAACGGCTAAACTGTCCCCAGTAAAGACAAGTAAAAGAAAAGAACAAGAAAACAGAGCAAGAGAAGGAAATATGTTAAAAGTGTCAGAGAGCTGGAGGACAGACAGGAAGTAAACACTAACGGGAACACGGTAAGGGCTCTGGCAGTATCTAGTTAATGGAAAAGAAAATGTGAACAGACTTGGATAGAGGCAGAAAATCAATCAGTGCTGCCGTCTCTTTAAGTTACGTTGCTGCTGCTGCAGTTCCAACCGTTGCTATATAGTAGAACTGACTTTTTTCCTTTGTGGAAGCAATACAATTATTTTTAAGTTGATCAAATCATGTTTCCTTGAATATTTTGTTTCAGATTGTTTACCTAGTGAAGGGAACTCCGACAGGGTGACCAGGACCCCTCCACGACCGGCTTAGATTTGTTCTTTACCAACATTCAACCTTTTTCTTTTGTTTCAAATGTAAATATTAATAAATCAATACAACGACTTTCCACGTCATTAACATCCTCTAGTAGTGCTTATTTGCTGTTGTCTAAATTAAGATATCCTGCAGCTTTATAGTCCTCAGGGTGTAGCAATGCAGCTGCAGTGTTGACTTTACATTAACAGCAGCATAGAGTATGACATGATTCTGGTGTTTCACTGATTGTATAATGGCCCTTCTCTGTATTGGAGGCAAAGCCTTGTGGAAAATGTAAAACAAGTCGATGAATCTCTAAAAACAGGAGGAAAGAAAGACATTCCTCTAACTAATCTACTTTGTCAAAAGTCACGGAGCTCACCAACTAAAACAATGACAGCTTCGGCATCTTTGGGAATCTTGGCGAGGAGCTTCATGGATCTGGCTGCAGCTGGATGGGACTCGGGAGGCAGAGGGTGGAGAGATTTCTTGGAGAAAGAACAGAACGCAGATTATCCAAATTGTTGCTCCGAACCAACGTGATGTGACACCGTAACATAGCGTGGGACCAATAATGGGAACTCAATGTGGGAATGGCCCTGTATGTGTGCATAATAACATTGTTATGGCCCTGCAGAATTCATTTTAAAGCCAGCACAGTTGGACCTCTGGTTCTTTATGTTTGAACGAAATGTCTTTAATAGGCTGCTTTAAATTTGCCAACATTTTAAGCCGCGGGGAGCATTACGTTTTCACAGTTAATGCATCAAGAAGCTTTAACTAGAAGCACCTGTAAGCCGACTAAGAACATAATTTGACACATGTGGCGCTCAGAGGCGTGCTCGCTCTGACTTCAAGAACTACCTACAGTACATGACTTCTGACCTCATGGAGGGGTGTTTCAAAGCACAATGCAAGAGCCACAGGCCTCACATCGGGCATATGGTGTAATCACGCTTAAACGTATGCTTACTGCTGACTCTTAGAACTTAATTCAAACCATAAACTAGAACATGACAGCTCAACGCGGCTTTTATCTCTGTCCATTTAGATAGCTGAGTTCTATTATGCTTGTGGATTCTTGTCAAAGCTGTTTAATCGCTTACTTCAGCTGTGGTGAATCATATTCACTTTTTTGTTTCAGCTAGGTTAAAGTCTATCAACAACCAGAACTCATATTTGTCACCAGATTCTCAAATTGACACAAATAGTTAAGGTGTAGAGAATAAGGAATGATTTAGAGCAGGGATGTCAAACTGAATTTCAGCCTTGGACACATCAGCTTTATGGTTGCCTTTTAAAGGTTTTGGTTAACATTTTTGACATAAATCTATTTTATTCTGAAATGAGCCATTGACATTCAACTGATTTTGATAGAGCGTATCACGTGTTCTGTTGAGAATGTAGGCTTTTTAATTCTTGGACTTGTTAATGCTTTTTTTGGTGGCTTAGGTTAGCAGAGTTGGCTCCGTGTTTGGTATTGTATTCCTTGGACATTGCCAAGACCTCCTAGCAAAGAAGACATAAGGGCTTCTCTCAGTCAAGCGAAACCATTTATTTGCTTTCCTTCTCTCATTTAATTGCCTTCCCTGTGCATGAACTTTCTTTTTTCAGACCATTTGATACCATTACATAATTTTGTACAACCCCATAACTCGGCCAAAGTTCTTCCACTCAGATGGCTAATATTAGGAATCTTCAGTGTGCAGGTAACAAAATCCAGAGGCATTGTGCGATATGTAGTTTTTCAGACACCGTACTTCTGTAAAGCGACATAAATTATATTATTTGCAAGTTCTAGTAGGCTATATAAAATGAGTTTCCAGGCTTTAGAGGGAAGGACAAATGAAGTAAGGAAACTTACAAAGAGGCTGACAAACACATCCTGCTTTGGGTCGTATACCGGCCCCTTGTTATCCTGGTGCTCTTCCGGCTCTTCGGCCACCAGCGGCAGACTGGTGTCGTGGTTGTGATTGAAGCTGCCATGGAGACTGCTGGTCGACTGGAGGCGGTGGAAACGATGTTTCATGTCACTTGGATGGCTGCAGAAGAGAGCAGGAAATACAGTAAGAGCTAAATGCTAACACTGGCATGCTAATACTTAATGCTCACACAGTTACTAGCTAACCCACTGATGTTTAGGGATGTTACAGGTCACCGTCTTTGTAGTCTTTAAGTGTGTTAGCATGCTTACATTTGCTCAAATCAATCAGCAGCTGATTTTGTTCAGTTAATCAAGCAAAGTAGAGTAAGTACTAATATGTTAAGATCTGAAGATTGCACCAGGTCACAAGTCACCAAGGTAATACATTGAACTATGATTATTTGAACTTATTTACCGTTCACACACAAAGTTGAATAGGGTTGAGTTAAAGATACTACTCCATTGCCATGTTGATTGAGCATGTATTTGTTGAAAATATGCTAGTGTAGTGCCGAGAGATAGGGAGTCAGAGGCGGTGCAAGGAAGGTGCAAAAGGGTACTTTATTAGAGAGTACTTTACTTTATTAAAGTCATGTTGTCCGGTTGCTGTCCGGGAAGAAGAGAGAGAAGCCAGGAGGGTACACAACATATATAGACAACACACAACATGTCCGTGTGGAAACAAAACCCCAACTGTAGTTCCATGTGTGAATTATGAACCAGTGTATTAATAAGTGGTCACTACACAAGCCCCCCCAGAATTCAAACATGGCAAAATAAATCCTCGCATCCGTGGAGGAAGCACCACAGGGGCCGAGGAGGGTGGGGTCGCAGGTGAGGGCCGGGCCATGGAACGGGCCATGGAACGGGCCATGGAACGGGCCGACAAAAGGGGGGCCGCAGGAGAGGGTAGGGGCCCTAACGAGGGCGAGGGCACCCCCACCGGGGACGGGCCGGAACGGGCCGTCGTAAGGGCCGCAGTAGGTGTCGTGGCGAACCCAGCAGGAAAAAGCGCTGCCCGGCCGCAGGTGAAGACACAGCGGCGGCGAGCATGAAATCTCCGGAAGGACGGAGCGGAATCCCAGGGAGGCAGGAGCGGTCACCCCGGAAGGAAGGAGCGCAACCCGGCCGCAGGCAGACGCACAGCGGCGGCGGGCATTAAGTCCTCGGCAGGCGTCGAGGTATCCCCGGGAAGCAGGAGAGGCCAGACAGGGTCCCGGAGCGCGCCACCCATGGGCCAATGGAGCATGGGCGACGTCCGGAACTGTCGAGGACAGACGGGGTCCAGGAGTGCACCACCCGGCCGCCGATTAAAACGTGAGTGGCGTCTGGATATCCCCGGAAGGCAGGAGAGGCCAGACAGGGTCCCGGAGGACGCCACCCATGGGCCGATGGAGCATGGGCGACGTCCGGAACTGTCGAGGCGAGACGGGGTCCAGGAGTGCCCCACCCAGGCGCCGATGAAAAGGTGAGTGGCGTCTGGAACCGCCGTCAAGGTGGTGAAAAAAAGGTGAGTGTCCACACAAGGTCAACCGGCTGGTCGAACCTCCTCTCCGGCACCGGAAAAAAAATTATACGTCGACAGCAACAACTAGCCGTTAGTCGCTAGCTGGCAGCCATGGGTAGCTGCTAGCCGTCGTTAGCCCCTCGTGGTTAGTCGCTAGTCGTCGTCAGCTAGCGCAGCCGGGTCGAGCAGCCGCACGCCCCGAAGAAACAAGCCCACGAGGTAGCAATCGGGTTGCTGGTCGACCCAGCAGGTCGTGCATCGTCCCCCTGTTGGATGGAAGGCTGATGCGGGAATGGCGAGCAACGTCCCCAGCTCTTCTGCGGGGCGTGCACCGAGCCTGCCGGTGGCAGCCATGGACGATTCCAAAAAATCCCCGGCATTTCGAGAAAGAAACTTGAGTTCCTTTTGCCGTGCTCGGGTCCGTCCCGGAAACTTCTCGAGACTTGTCAGGGTCACCAGTGTAGTGCCGAGAGATAGGGAGTCAGAGGCGGTGCAAGGAAGGTGCAAAAGGGTACTTTATTAGAGAGTAATTAAAGTCATGTTGTCCGGTTGCTGTCCGGGAAGAAGAGAGAGAAGCCAGGAGGGTACACAACATATATAGACAACACACAACATGTCCGTGTGGAAACAAAACCCCAACTGTAGTTCCATGTGTGAATTATGAACCAGTGTATTAATAGGTGGTCACCACACTAGATTTATATAAATCAAGTTGGGACTAACTTAAAATCTCATAGGGAACTCACACAAATCAAAGCAGTCCATATACTGTATGTTGTTTGTTATTTTATGTGATATAATAGATCATTAGTCTTAAAGGACCTACAGTAGTATCTAATAATAATAATTAATAATAATAATTCCTTACATTTATTATAGCGCTTTATCAATGACTCAAAGCGCTTTACATATACACACATTACACATATATGATACATGCAATGGTCAGATACTGTGGACAATACCCACAGGAGCAAGTTCAGGTGAAGTGTCTTGCCCAAGGACACACCGTATCTGACCTCAAGGCATCCATTACTATAGCTTCAGTCATTTCTACATCCTTGTACTTAATTTTCCTTCATAGATATATCATTACATATTAAATACAGGATGCTCGACAAATTATTCTAAACATAAGGTCCATTTAAGTTTGTATGGCCGCCATCAATAAGAGTTGTATGTCTTTTCATTTCGAATAATTTGGATTATTATAATAGACTACTGTTCCCCATTTGAAATAATTAAAAGTAATTAAAAAACAATATTAAGATGATTAATTTATAGGGCTGCATAATCATTTATATCAGGGGTCCGCAACAGGCGGGCCGCGGTCCGGATCCGGACCCAGACACGGACCCGGACCTATAATCAATACATTAATAGGGGATTTCAATTTTGACGGGGCGATTCAATTTTAACCGCCGCCGACAGGGGGCGAAAGAGAGGAGTGAGCGATACAGGGAGAGAAACACAGAAGAAGAGAGAGAGACGAGAGAGCGGCAGGGAGAAGCGGAGAGGAAAGTGAGTGAAGAGAAGAGTTAGCGATACAGGGAGAGAAGCGGAGAGGAGAGTGAACAGGCGTGTTAGCGGCAGACAGGCAGAGATAAATAATTACACATGGCACTCTCCAAGAAGAGGAAAGTGGACAGTGAGAACAGAGCTTTTAACCCTGAGTGGTCAGACTCATTCATGTTAATCCTGCCCACTGGGAGCACAGAACCAGTGTGTCTCGTTTGTTCAGAGACCGTGGCGCTCATTAAAAGTGCCAAAACGCCACTATGAGACAAAACAGAAAGTGTTTGACCAAACATTCCCTCTCAAGTCAGAACTGAGGTCACAACAAATAAGCAGTCTCAGAGCCCAATATGATCAGTCCACCAGGATCAAAATTAAAACTAAATATCGTTCCAGGGCAGGCTAACCGAGGCTAACCAATGAGCATGTGTGTATGAGAATGGCCCTGACACCATTTCAGCCCAGATTTAAACTCCTGGCAGGACAAACTCGAGCTCAATTCTCGCACTGAATAAAACAAAGTGAGTGAGGGACTGCAAAATAAGAGGGAAAGAAAGAGAAACTTTAAAACTGTTCAATTGTTATGATGTGTAAAGACTGATATTGTTCTATACTCGTCTGAAACTGTTAAGTCATGATGTGAAACGGTTAACAAAGAAAAAGGGAAACTCAAGCTGCTGCTACACTTTATTTTATTTATCTAAAATTAAGCACTTTTAAGATGCACACATTTTCAAAACCTATTTTATTTATTTTCTCCTATTTTATATTTTAAATGCAGCCCGAGAGGAACATTACACATATCCACAGTATTTACTGTATATCTGTATAGTTCAATGTTAATTGACAATACATATAGTTGTTTATGAATTGTACTTCTATTTCGTATAAGGCTTCGCCCTCTAAGGCTATCGCTATTGGGTAATCCCCACTGCACGTGTGCAGCACTGACAGACTTATTCCACGCCCACCTATGACGTGGGCCCCACCTCCGGGCTCACTTCCGTATAATAGGAAGTAGGCCCTACTCCTACTTTTCTTCAGCACTCCGTTGCAGAAGCATTGACAGGCAAAACAAGTTTTTTTAAGAGCTACTTACTAAAAAGCAAACATTCCTGGTTCCCCTGGGCCCATCCTCCCTCTCCTCCGGACGGGGGAAACAGGGTGGGGGCCCGGTGTCAACCCGACATATGAGTTACGACCGGAGCTCACGGTTGTGAGTCTTGCCGGAGATTAGAGCACGCAAACGCGGCTCTCACTCCCCAGGTGTCGTGCACTCATTGTGTCCGTCTCCCTCTGGCCCACAGGACAGTGGAGAGCGGACGCTCTCGCTGCTGCGGCCGAGGATGATTGGCTAGTCCAGGAGTTTTACTCTGTGGACCAAGCCCTTTATTTATTGGATCTGAGTGGCGGGCAGCAGTCAGGCGACTCCTTCCCCTCCATTCACGGATCACCATGTGGTTCCCCCGCCCTGTCTCCCTCTCCTCCGGCGGGGGAGACGGGGCGGGGGGCCCGGGGTCAGCCCGGTAGCCGAGCCTAGGTTCGGCTGCCGGGGTCAGCCCGGTAGCCGAGCTGACGACGGGTCAACGGGTCCCTCTATCCGCCATCGCCGTCGATAGGCGGTATTCTCCAGGAACTCCCGGAGATCATCGGAAAGGCAGCCGCCTAATGAGATCTCCCCCGTTCCCCCGGTTCAGGAGAGCTCTCCTTCCGGATGACATAGAAAAAAGCTGCATAAGCGGCTGCCTCACGCGGCTGGCGTGGCTCGTCACCATGACAACCACAGCACATCCAGAGCAGGTTCGCGCCTTGAGTGACGGCGCGTGGGTTAGATGGACAGAGGGAAGTTAATATGCAGCAAGGCTCCCCGGTTTAAGCCAGCTGCCAATAGCCTATTGGTTACTTGGCAGCATGGCTCGCTGCCTAAGCCGGCTGGGTTTTTTAACTTATCGGTTAATAAAACAGCTGGGCTTGCAATTTAAATCCGTCTACCGTAAACTTTTTGGGTTTAGGCAGCATGGATAAAGACCTCTGTCTCAGACACCTCCTACCCACGGTCGTAATAAGCCCACGGAGGGCCATTATTACGCATTGTG